ACCCCCACACTGTCAGCACCATATGTGATGCCCTAGAGCAGTAGCAATCTGTGTGTGTTTCACATCCATGTTACTGTCCTATACAATGTCTACTTCTTCAGGCCACATGGTGTTTCTAGTTTGTGCTCAAAAGGCCACTTCTTTCTCTCCTGTGTCAGTCTTTTATCTTTCAATGTTCTTGAACTTTCTATATATCTCCTTACAGTAGTGAGATAATCAGGCACAAAAGATGCTGACCATACACCTTCACATTGACTGCAGTAGCTCTCTGTGATCTGGACCTGTATTGTAGAGCATGCACAGCCCTGTCTTTTCTCCCTCTCACACTAATACATCTCAGGTGCCTTGCCAATCTAATTGGCACCAAATTCAGCTTCATTTCCATCAAACTACTCAGTTAGCCCACATTGTGAGGAGTGCACACTCAGCAGAGACGAGGAGATGCAAAAAGCTGTATTGAATTAACTCAGGTTTGTGTGTGCTGTTGTGTGGGGTTAGTAAATGGTGCAAATAAAATTTCTGCTTTGCGCAGCAATGAAGGACAGTCCATGATCCAAAAACAAAGGGAGGGAATTTATCAGTGAGCCTTCAAAAAAAATGTACGTGAAGAAACCTTATTTGCATATTAAAATAACAAGCCCCAACTACATAGATGCCAACACAGCACTTTTCTGTAGCCTACTGAGATATGTCTCTACTGTTCCACAGAAAAGGGAGATTATAAGTGAATGATTCCCTGTATCATTATGACCGGCAGACTACAAGACAACACAATACACCAGTGTTTGCCAACTCCTCATTAAGGAAATTTGCTATTGGCAGTCCCAAAAGTTGCTACATGACATCATCAAATAATTTGCATAAATTGCCATATCCATGCAATTGTGATAGACTCTGTAGGAGAGAGGAATAATGTAGTGGGAGAGACAAAAAGGGAGTAAAGAACACCCTAAATATGTTTAGAACTACAATTCATTTGCAGTCTCTGGACACAGAGGGGTGAACATCTCCTGCTCTGAATGCAGCTGGGAGGGACTGCTGCGTGAGGACTGGGCCGACTGTGAGTGCTTTGGGACGGGCCCACAGCAGCACCCGCAGCTTGTTGAGAGGAGTACAAGAACGATACGTGCTTTCAAGTTAGAGTCTCCAAAAGTCTCCAATAACACCGGAAAAAGTTGTTAGATTTGTCACTCTGAGCTTTTTTGAATGAGTGAATGAATGAGTCGGTAGAGGTGTCTGAAAACTCGCCAAATATAGCAACAAAGTGGCTAAGTTGGCAACACTGAATCACGTTAACAGGAGAGTAAGTGATTCAGCAGAAGAATTTTTGATATTTGAACTCAAATGCCAAACATATACACCCCTCCCTTCAGTGTTTCCTCAGAGGAAATATTCGCTGAATTTAACAAAAAGTATATTGGATTACAAACACTTACTATCCCTTTGATGTAGAGAGAGCACAAAAGCATAAATCTAAAGAGCTTTTTATCACCAACTTAAGAGCTCTGTTTCAATAGAGGAATCAATAGAAGTTTTTTGTCCACATAATCTGGTTTATTTTCACTCCATTGTCTGTGGGCCACAAAATGCTAGTGAATCTCTATGTGCTCTGAACATCCATCTCTACGCAATTAAGTCCAGCAGCATGACTGGAATGCTGATTGGAAACTACAAATCAGGGTGTATGTTATATACAGTATACAGTAAGACCAAAAAATCCCCTCAGTGGCCAATTACAGCTACTCTCTGTTCCCTCTTCAGCCAAATACAACTCTCAGATGTGGCCATGAGAGCAATGTTTTACAGACTACGTGTACACACAAACGGCCATGGACACACACACCACAATGTTGAGTTGTGGAATTGCGGATGTGGGCGGATCTGGGCACTTCTTGTTCTGCCGGAAGAAAAGCAAATAAAAATCTGCGTTTGGACTCAACTTTCACTAAGCAGCCTCTTTGGGGCAATTGTTAACTGTCTGCTTGGTTTTCCACTTGTCTCAGTCGGTCTGCCCACTTAGATTGTCAGACCATTTGTCTGTAAAAATGTGTCTTGACTACATCTTTGTGTGTGTGTCTGTCTACCTGGTGTGTGAAATATTTTTTCAAAATGTCTTACCTCAAAGGAACAAAGGAAGAAGTGTAGCATGTTTATAAAACTGAACAATATTGGGAACAAGTAGAGAGAAAGTAAGTATAGAAAGAAACTACACTGTAGTGCTATAAGAGACAGTGGTAGAGAAAAAAATAGAGATATATAACTGTACTGTGTACTACAAGTTGCACCTCAAGTGCCATAAGTTTTGAGGGACTTATTCACCCTAAACAATGTAATAGGACATGTTTTTATTGTTTGTCTTTACTTCCATTACACCAGCAAAGAATATTCTGACTTGGTACCACAATGAATCAACATCAGTAACAACAATCACATCAACTCAAGACATCTGTGTGGAAATACTGTGTTGCATGAAATTTCACAAAATGCGTTTGTTGATTTGCATCAGAGTGATATTTTTTGTGAAATTTAGACGCTATTCAAGGTGGTTTCCTAATTTCTTGTCTGTTTACTGACAAAAAGTGATGACTGCATTTGAATTAAATGACATGAATATACACAAAGTCATTGTGAGTGTACAGAGAAACAACACAAAAATGCAGCAGATTTCTTTTCGAGGATACTCTAAACATTTAATTCTTTCACAAATAATGTTTTTACCCTCTATGTATTTTACTGTGCCAACAACAGAATAAAACTCATGCTTTTCAAATCACTGTGTGTGTAGTGGTAGTGAGGCAGGAAATGAATGGCTAAAAACAGTGTATCCTCCTTTAAGCAGTATCTGTTTTCCCAGAATGGATTTTGTCATTGATGGTTTAACTGAATGGACCGTTTTACAGTGTTACACTATCATCTCTAACATGTTACCTTCAGGTTCAGTCTAAAAATGACTAAAGCCAAACTGTAGCTGTACGATTTTCCAAACATTATGATGAGCCAAAGCTTAATAAAGACAGATTTATGGGGAACTTGAGAGACATACGAAAGAAGAACACAGCATTTTTATTCTTATAGTACAACTCAATGACAGCCAAACTGCATTATCACCTTAGTTCAACTTTAATTCCTAATTTTGTTTCTTACTGAAGGCAGGGACCAAGGGAAATGAAAGGTGTGAGAACCAAAAAGTGACACATCAACAAAAAACTATTGGACAAATGGCGTAACCCTTCTCTGTTCCACTTTCCTGAGGCAAACCATGTGGAAAGATTGACATCAGGAGGCATAGCTGATGTGGTATTTCTCACACCAGTGTTTTTAAAAGAACTGAGTCAGGATCTAAATTCAGTTTGAAGAAAGATTTAACTGCTTCCCCGAGTAATCCAAAGCTAAAAGCCATTTCTTTCTTCCAAAGCCATTCCATGCGGGCAAGGTGAACAAAATTATTCTTCACGCTGGTATGTCACATTATACTGCAGAGTCGCCTAAAACAGCAAACCCCGGGTTGTGAGATAAACCAATTTTAAAATGGTCGTCCCAAGACACTACAGTGACATATACGCAGTAAAAATGAACCCACCATCCATTTCAAGTCTGACAACTGAACTCAGCCTTGTGAATGTCCCTGCCATCTATAAAAAACATTTTTTAAGTGTAAAATTCCTAGAGATTTTCCCACCAACTCCTGCTCTCTGCAGAGGTGTTATATGTCTACAAAATGACTGCCAAAGGCTGTAGGTCAATACAATTATTCTTCTATAATTTGTGAGAGTTGTTGCAGGCAGTGCACAGTGTAAAAGAGTACAGTGGGGTCTCTGTAGACATCGCCATATTGATTTATACTCCATAGCTGTGTCATCGCAGTGATCAACGATGGCAGAAAGACAAAGACTACTGCCCAATCAAGGCTGAACAAAGACGTCGCCCATCTCCAGTATGATTCAGTTGTCTTCTCAAGCTCATACCTATTCATAATTTTACTGTGCAACAGTAGCCATCCATCTTCATGGGAACCTGACAACCTGTGTGATTTATTCAGTCTTGGCCATGAAGTGGATATTGCATAAACAGGACAGAACAAGCCTGAGGGATCTCTCCCAACAGGGTAGATTTACATCCATCCACCCGTCTGTGTGTGTATGAGTGTGTGTGTTGGCTCTACAGCTGTATCCGTCAGCAGAAACATGTAAGTGTGCTGACGCAGGGGATAGAAAGACACACACCGACGCAGTCATACTGACAGGGTGCTGTGAGTGTGTCAATACGGGATCAATACAGCGACAAATAAATCAACCCTTACAGCCCTCATACCTGATCTTTGGGTTAAGTGGGAATGGCGTGTAATTAAAGCTCATTGCTCTCTTAAACATTTTGAATAAAATATGAGTACAAGAGCACAGTGACAGCAGGAGGATTGTAAAAGATCATCGGTTTGTTGTCACAGCTGTCAGCAGGCGTAATGTTGTTGCAGTCATTTTGTATCCGTCCTAATAAACATATTAAATACAACCTTGACATGATGACATTAGCAAAAGTAATTTATACAGTAAACAAAACATGCTGACGTTAGAAACAGCCATACTTAAAGTGATCACATTGTTTACTTATTGCCTTGACCCTGCCAATCAATAACCTTTCTCTTTTTAAAGTAAACATGTATTTACTGTATATATGGATAATCCCTACATCAACCCTACCCTACCACCTATTAGCTTCTCTTAATGCCAGTCATTTGTTAATTAAGATTTATTCTGCTTTTCAGCTGTGGCAGTAACTCCTTGATCTTTGCAGCTTCTTTACATTATTAACACCAGCAGTATTTGCTGCTTTTACAGTCAAACTAGGCAAATTCACAGTTTGCACATTTAGCAGAGATGAAAACAAGGTTTCACTGAAGGGGAGATATCATGGGAATGATGAACAGAGAGTTGAATTTGATGAATAATACATTGGGTTAACATGTGCATTACCATCTGCTCAAAACCAACTCAGTAACTTACCCCTGCAGCTCCTTGACAGACATGGAGATCTTGAGGTTATGTCCCAAAACATGGAGGGCAGTGAGGATGTCCGCCCACTGGACCATCTCTCCCAGAGGACCCCCCTTCAGCACTTTTGGGCTGAAAACATCTCCAGACTCTTCTGTTAGGAAGCCGACATGGACCAGGATCTGAAGGACAGGGATACATTGTGGCAGAGAGTTAAAGTTTGCAGAGTAGCTCCACAACAAAGCTCCACTTGAGAATAATATCGACATGAAACAACTAAATATTCATTAGTTGGATTACTTATCCTCTACACTTCAGCATCTAAGTAACATGACTTTATTAGAACTTTGTCTTAATTTTATAGCATTTCTACAAAAACATTGTACACACCAATGAGATGAGATCTGCTGCAATGAAGTCCAATGGGGCAAAAACATGAGCAGCCAGATTATCTGTACCACTTTCTTTAAAACTAAAACCAAAAGTGAGAGCACCTGACTTTTCACTAATAATCCCTCATTGCACAGGACAACAGAGTACACACACAACTCAGGCGTGAATGGTAAATAAAAGCTGAACTAAGATGTTGGTCTTAACACTGTGATGGATGTTTACAACTGAAGGTAAGGTAACAACTTTACCTTTACCTTCCCGTCATTTCTTCTTCCAAATAGGTTTGGTTATACTGGGGGTTCGCTTAAAACTTGTACTTACTGCTTGTGTTTCATGCTTGCTTCTCAGGAATTATCTTTATGTGCACAATGTCATTATTACTGATGAAAAAAGATGAGCAAAATGACTTGTAATAACTTGGCCCTAAAATTCAGCAGACAGTTATGAACAAAGAGTAACTTCCTCTTCATTTAATAAACCATTTGTTAACATTAACAAAACTTCTCCCACAACAATGATTCTTTATAAATTATTTCCTGCCTATAAATTGGCCTTACTTTGTTCGTTAACTCAACTTCACATTGTAAAGTAGCAGCTCTGAGCTCATAGTTTAAATGTACAATTTTCTGATTAAAAACCCAAAACAGCAAGAACTCATTTATCAAGCGTACTTTCCCAGTTAGCTTGAAAACATTCAGCCATTCTTCAACATGTACTATAATGTTCATGTATTACAATACCATACTTTCCAGACTTACAGTACTTTATCATGTCTCGATGGTGGTTTAGTAATTTATATACACTTAATGTGTGTATATTTAAAAGTACATTTAATTTAATCTGATTATAATCTTTATATATACTGTACGTGCGTGTACTATATAAAGTTAAGCTCCTTGAAAGTTAAGCTTCTGCGGTGCTAACTGTTTTAATGAGTTTCAGGATTGGAATCATTAGAATTTCAGACTTATCCAAAGGAAAATTATGGAAACTGAAAAGTAATTATTTGAAATCCCCAACAAATTATCCTCTCACGCTCCAATGGAATAGCATGCACATGTAGAAATCCATGTGGACTTTACCGTCCAACTCATTTCATATGCACTGTATGCCTATACAGATAACTGCTGTAACTAATTCTTAGGCACCCGATGAGAAAATCCCCTTTGTTTTAAAACATCATATCACACATGTGAAGGAATTATCACATTTTTAATGTTGCACTATTATACAACTTTGCACCTACAGGCTACAGCCCTGCCATGCATGTCTACCTAGCTGATGCATAATCAGTGCAACCCACTGAGAAATGAGGAACACGTTGCCTTTCACAGCGGATTAGACAGAACCATGTCCAAATGTTGCTCTGCTGAGTAATCCTGATTAACTAACACAGCATGAACGCCTCCATGCAACATACATAATGAGCTTAAGGCCAACTGTGTGGAGTTTGCCAGAAAGTTTTGACGGTGATTGCTTACTATGTCTGCGCCTTCACAGCTTTGAACTGTAGAGGTTTTGATTAAAAGCGTCAAAGATTCTGAATAGCAGGGGCATTAGTTTGCTCACCTGGTAGAGCACACGCACCATATACAAAGGCTAAAGTCCTCATCGCAGCGGCCTCTGTTACTCATTCCCTCTCGCTCACGTTTCCTGTCTCTCTTTGACTGTACGGTCTAATTAAGGCAAAAATTACCCCCACACCCAGTAATACACATGAAAAAGATTCTGAATAGCAGAAAGAGAGAAAAAAATGCAGTCTGGATATCTGATATATAATTATTTAAAGTTGTCATAATTGTACATCATGATGATGATTTTGTATTATAGCTGTATACATCCAGAACAAGTGCACAGTACAAAAGTCACTCCATAGATGTCCTAAAATTAACATGTACAAAATGTGTGTAAAACATTGGACAGTGGTGCGTATGTGGCAGAGTCAAGCTCCAGTGACACTCTAGCTGGCGTGAAAAATCCCCTGATTTAATAAGCCTGCTCTATTAACTTCTGCTTCATAAAAAAAGATAAGTGAAATTGAATTACAGTTTGGGTGGCAGATGGCAAGAGTGAGAATTCATGGTGCCAATACTATTCACTCTCTTGGTTTGGTGGGGGCAGTGGTGATGTTTCACACAAACACTGGCAACCACGCAAAAATGGAGACAGAAGGAGCTGAATTTCATACACTGGCAGCAGCACAGTAACGCTGCTAAATAAATATGAGAAATATCACACCGTGGCAGCAGAGCTGAATAAATGTGGATTGGATTCTGTGAAACTGGCATCCACACACAAATGTAAAGTTAATAGGGAGAGAGGTAAGGGTGCTTTACAAAACCTGGCAACTTGCACCCGTGATCTAGACTACTGAGGAGGGATTTCACTTTCTCTCTGAAAGGCAGTATTTATCTCCATTTGCAAATGTTAATTCCTCTGTATGGGAACAGAATTAGAGTGGAGTTCAATGAAACATATCAGAACAACGCTGGGGAAGTAACCTTTATATCACAGAATAGGAATCAATAGCTAGAACGGAGAGGAGAGAGAAACTTGAGTGGGTGGTTTGCACTGTGTTTTACTGTGCAGATCACCGGCACACACTTTCGCCGCCAACACAATCTCGCATACATTATATATATATAACTCACTTGAAAACAAAGAGGAACGGGTGGAAAAGCCAAACAATGGGAAGTCAAAGTAAAACTGTACTTCCTCATAAACTCCTGTATCACGGCCAGCTGCCTCCCTCAGGAATCTGACCACAACATACGTGGACTTATGGTACTCCCAAATGGTGTGTGTCTGAATGTGTGTGCTGATGGCTTTTGAATTGTGTTTTTTTTTCTTTGTCTGCATGCATTTGTTTCACACTGACATACATCAATGATCTCTGTGTGTAGATGCTTGTGTGCATGTGGAAGCGCGCTCATTCGCCGTGAGCTTGGGGAGATTCTCAAAAGGATCTAAACTTACTCTACTCTCTACTGTTAACGTCCCATGGGGATTGAACAAAAAGACCTGGCAAATCCGCTGAGACAGAAAGAGAGGTACGATAGCAACGCACTCATGCTGAAATCTATCACTCACCTTTAGAATGCCCTGTCTGCCATTGTGTGTCTTCACACGCCATCCCTCTCACAAAACTGTACTGCCAAAAATCAAGCTATTTTCACAACATTTCCTGTTCTGAAGGGTTTTTTTGGATTAAATGATTAAATAACTTGGGTACACTGTAGAAAAGAAAACATATTATCAAGCTAGTCCTAATGTTAGGAACAATTGTGTGTTATGAGTGTGTGTCCAAGTAATATCTTTGGAAAGTCCTTGGTGCGTACATGAGAGCAGGAGAGTAGAAGTGGCTCTCAAGTATGTAGTACCACTGCATTGTTCTGCTCCACTCATCACTAACAGGCTAACGAGAGAAGAATGCTAATGCTTGTTTCAGCATCTGTTAGCACAAGACTTTGCAGGTGTGTTTGCGCGAGTGAGTGTGTGTGTGTGTGACCCTGTTCACTCATGCACTGTGGCCCTTATGAAGGTCGCAGCTGTCCGATGGAGGGCCACGAATGGCAACACAAGCTGGCACTGCCAACCATCACTACTCTACCCTTAATTTCACCTTCTCTCTCTTCCTCCTTTCCCCTTTTAATTTCTCCTCACGTCTCTACTCCTTGTTGTCACATTCCTCCAGACTGCTTCTTCCCCTCTCCTCTTTCCTCCTTACTTTAGCTTTTTCTTACCCCCACCCCGGCCCCCCTCACTTCACCCTCCATACCCATTAGTCTCCTACACTGTCTTCACTTCATCAGTCAGAGGTCAATTAACTCTCAAGAGGGCAGACACAGGGAGAAGGGAAGTTAACATTTTAGCATTATGCTGACAATTAGCACTAAATGTGCATGCTCAATGCACACCAAGTAGGCAAAGATACACACAAAGTCACTTGCTGAGATACTTAAACTAACACCTGACTGGCACTGAACACGCTGTAGCAGGTTAACAGGATAAGTTCAGTGTTTTTGAATCTGTACTATTGCTTCATTATACTATAATACAGCTTAGCTGAATATGTTTCCTTTGATGTCTACAAAAAAAGAGAACAACAATTTGTTATACACAAAAATGTTCCATCAGCTATGTTATAATGGCTGAATGGTTGACCCAGGCTTTTGATTATGTTTAATAATGGTACTAAAAAAGAAAACTGCTTTGAAAGTGAAGTGCAGTGAACTCTACAAGCCATCTAGAAATAGGCAAATTAGTCACAAAATAAAAAAGATTTCCAAGAATATGGAAGGCAGGCTACTTCATTACTCGCAGCGGCACTGTGCATAAAAGTTTCTCAAACGTCTATCTCTCAAATATATTTGACTGTGGGAAATAGTGAAATCTCTTCTGCTGTGACTCTCAGGTTAAAAAAAAATCCCTCTGAATTACATTTCTCACATGTGCACACACACACACACACACACACACACACACACCTCCCCATCTCCTTGTGTCTGCTGCTGACAGTTCAGAATCAGGTTGCCTTTTTTCTCATTTTGCTCCCGATCCATTCTCCCTCCATATTCGCCTCTCTGCTCTGCTAATTTATTCTTTTTCTGAGTAAACATCTACTCTGCTTACAATCAAAGAGAAAGCTAAACAAGGAAACAGAACTGAATCAACAGAGCCCCACTGGAATTGTAAAGACTGTACACTCAAGCAGAATGCTGAAATTGCTATTGGAAGCGAGGATTTTGTAAAAAAAAAAAAAAAAAAAAAGGTTAGGCGAGTGAAAGGCCGTAGTCAATTCACACGAGACACTGTTTTTTTGGAGGTCATACTTAATTAAAATCAAACAGTGTTCTCCTTCTCAATGTTAAAGTGAGTGCTTAATTTAAGGTTTAAAGGAAAATGAAATGCTGTGCGGGAGGAGGGTAACGGTAGTCAAAAACGGTAAATTTGACTGGTAAAGAGAGATTTCACAATAAAATGTATGAGATTCTGCCTTAGGCTTTTATTACAATGATATCCAATTAGCAGTCTCACAGACACACACAGACAGGAGAACACATTTTTACGTCTAATTATTGTGATAAACCGCTTTTGACAGCCAAGGCTAACTCTTACAAACACCAGGACATCTGCTGTTAAGATAGCAGCTGCATGTTGTAAGGCATATAGGCTGTTCACACAGCCATGGGGGCCATGAAAGAGGATACCAAATCCCCTCAGTGCACTGCAAGAAAGGAGAACATCAATCTCAGTGACAGAGGACAATTTCCACCCTTGTTAACTTATTTTAGAGAGAGATGTGGGCAGAGAGAAACATTTTGGAGAGAAGAGGCAGAATGTGTGCTCAATCTGCCTTCTCACATTAACTCATACATTTATAACTATTTTTTCAACTAAAAGATTATGAGTCTACTCAAGACAGGGTACAAAATGCAATTGGTGGGGAGGCTCGACAAGTTACGAAAACTTCGAAAGATTATATCCAGTGTAAAAGTCTCCCAAAGTTTTAATTACATATTGCTTTCACTGACATTTGGAAAAGTAATCCTTGAAATTACACACTTAGATTTATATTATATTACTTTTTTTTAATGAAAAACATCCACAGGCACCTTGGCCTTCTAGACTTTGTTTCTTGCTCTTCTCTGCGGTGCCTCCCATCTCCCCTCTCCACCTCCATCAATCCTTTTCTAATAGATATTCTCCAGCACCTTCCCCACCCTATCCATCCTCCTCACGGCCTTCCTTTCTCATCTTATTCTTCTCCCTCTGGCACTGGCACATGCTTGGCATTTCATCATAATCCCAAATCATTCACCATTTCTTACCTCCTGTCTCCCTTTCGTTTCTTCTCCCTCATATATCGCTGCATCTCTTTCTTCCTTTCTCTCACACTAAACCCTTGGCATTCATGGCTGCATGCTGGAAGCAGCCAAGTCCATACTACACTGCTTCAGTGCCAACCAAAATGAAGTTTAACAATTTAACAGTGTGATACCGTACTAAAGTCTTATTTTACAGTACCCAGCTTTGAAAAGTATTTTTAAACGGACATTTATGCACCAATTACAAAAGAAGAATGTGGACGGCAGCGATGGATGACAACCTGTCATTACCTCCTCTATCATTTATCTCCTTCAAGCTTCTACCATAATTACACAAGAAGCATATGTAAAAAGGCTTTTTAGCAACAACTACTTGAGTGTTGGTATGTGGGTTAATGTTTTTCATGTTGTACAGTTCAGTTGTGTAGTTGGACTCCTCCATTCTCCCTCCTATTGTACCTTTTTTTAAACATATTACCACTGTTGTGCATTGGTGTGCATTGTAATACTCTTTACACCATTTAAGCTCTTGACCTCACTTGTTATTGTGAGTTTCTCAGCAGCATGTTGCATTTAGCCATGATAAAACAATATTTTATTCCAGTACCTGATCACAGTCGAAAGAATAAACACCTCACACACTCCATTCTTACTTGACATCCTCCATCATCAATCACCCGTTTCATTTTTCATCTCTCACCTTCTTCTGGTCTCTCCATTGTTGCTCCAGCTTGGCATCCAGGCGATTGGCAGCCGTTGCCCACTGCTGTGCAAGGCGACGAATTCGGCGCCTCATGAAGCTGAGGGACTCCTTTCCTGTCCCAACCTGGTCCAGCAGTACAGAGAGGTCTGTGCGGAAGGCAGCCTGGGAAGGTAATGGATAGAAAGTGGGTCCACCACTTTGGTCCAGAGTGAAATATCTCAACAGCTACTGGATGGATTACCATGACATTTGGTTCAGATATCTGTGGTGCCTTGGTAATGATCCCCTGACTTTTCACCTAGCACCACCAACAGGCTGACATTTCTGGTTGAGAGTGAAATTTCTAGACAACGGCTGGATAGATTACCATCTGATTCGGTGCAGCCATTCATGGTCTTTTTGAACTTTGGTAATCCTCTTGACTTTTCATCTAGCGCCATCATCAGGTCACAATTTCAATTTGTCTAATACTTTGGCATATCTATCAAATAGTTTTCTTTATGGCCCAATCCCAATGTCCCCCCTAAACTCTAAGCCCTGAACCCTCACAGACAATGTGCAATGGCCAAAATGCTGTTGACAGGAACGGGACAGCCCTTTGCTGCTTTATCACGTTACCTTGATGACGCTGAAACACGTTGCACACTTTTTATTTTATGTCCTCCAAAAGTCCTTAGCATGGCTGTAGACTCTAAGGCTACGTTCAGACTGCATGCCTTAATGCTCAATTCCGATTTTTTTCCCAGATCCGATTTTTTTTGTTTGACAGTCTGACACATTATAGTTTAAATGTGGCCCATATCAGACTCCAGTGTGAACTGTCCGCGGCCTGAAAGTGACCTGCATGCGCAGAAGAATAACACGAGGTCATGTGCAGCACGCTGTTGCACGGTACAGAAGTAAACAAGGAGCAACAGAGGTTAGCTCCGGTTAGCTTGCGGGAGACTCCCGTTTTTCATTGTCTTCTCACGGGTCACATTTTCCCGAATTATGACAAGCGTTCACAGATTTCTGTTCTTTTCTTTACGGTTTCTGGCGCTGGACAACTCACCCCCGCCTCCCTCTCTCTGCCCACTGTGTCCACTCGGACAAGTAGCATGCACGTAACTCAGAAGAGAGCGTGACAGGTGAATTTTAGGTATAAGAAAAGGGATCTGTGAGCAGATGATAGCGAGGTAGAGAAGGAAGAGAGCCACAAGTTTAATTATGGCTTTTTGTGGAGATTTTTCGTTCAGCGCGGCTCCGTTTACAGCAGAACAGCTGCTCTACAGTGACGTCAAAGTCGCATCAAATGCGACCTGAGTGTCCAGTCTGAGGTCGCATTTAAAAAGATCTGATCTGTATCGGATTTGGACCACATATGGAAGTGGCCCAATTCCGAAATGGAAAAGATCAGAGTCCATGTGACTTAGCCTGTTCACACTGTCATGAAAAGATCAGATCTGAGTCAAACATAGGGGGAAAAAACTGATTTGGGTCACATCGGCCTGCAGTCTGAACCATAGCCTTAGTCTTTTTGGTCTTTTATTGCCTTCAGTGTTGTTAAAATACACTGGACTGCAAAGTGACTGAAAGCAAGAAGGAAAAGATGTGAAAGAGGAATATGTCATCTACATATTTAATCAGCTGATGTAACCTGTGCATGTAATCTTTTTTTTGTGTGTGTGATGGTGATTCTGAATTCTCTACAAATGCAGGAAAACACTAGCCGGTAGATTTTTATAAACCATTTTGCAATATGATGCAATATTTGCCTTGTCAAATCTCATATTTTAGAAAACTATTCTAAGAACGATTGTGTCCTAAGAGAACCTTGTTCACGTTTCTATTTGTTTTACAATTTAAGGCTGGCTTTTGTTTCCTCTGTAAAAGAAAACAACAGTTACAACAGCATGCGTTTTGTAACTAATGATATAAAGAGTCATGACAGTTCTCCTCTGAGAACAGCTTTGGCGCCGCCCTGTTTGTATGCAAGAAAACTGTAATCTACAGTTCAGTAATTAGGATCACAGGGTAACAGAGATATCAGTCTTCATTTACACTGACATTCTGCTTTACCTCTAGAAAATGGCACAGCTGCCACCAAGGTGAAACCATACACACAAAGATACAATGCGCACACATCACTTTATTAACTACTTTAACCATTCATTATTGCTTTGTGTTCTCAGACAAACACTGTAAAATGCTGACCAAGCCACTGTAACTGGGAACACTATAGTCAGTATGAGTGGGTTAAGACTTTCCTTATTTCATTTGGTGAACATCCAAATTCTATTATTATCACTGCACAGGCTTTCCTCAGAGGGCACCTTTACCTGTATTGTGTTCCTAATGTGAGGGGGGAAGTAGTTTATAATAAAATATTGGCAATTTCATTGGCCTGTGATAAAAAAGCAGTTGATATTAACTGTGAAATTAAGAGGGGGAATTTGACTGTTCCTTTATAAAAGCAAGGAGAACTAGGGAAGGTTACCAATACTCAATTTATGAATGCATCCCTGTCACAGATGTTGTTGCTGTTAAGAAGCTAGATACTGTATGTGTAAGTATGTTCTTGTTTGTAAAACCTTGCAAACTGCTCACACTATGTTATTGTGTATTAGTTTGTCAGTGTAAGGAATTAAAGTATTAAAGTTTTTTTGCTGCTCCATGACCTCAGAGTCAATGAGAAAAACAGAGGGTAGAGGATAAAGACGGGAGGGGAGGTTGGGGGTGGGGGGGTCAAGTCTGTTTTAATTAATAGAGAGAGAAGAGGGTCAGATGAAGATTTACTATTATGTAGTAACGGGGGCAGATCGCTCACGCTTCTATTACTGAACAGCGTCTTTTGAGCAGAAGGACAGTCTTTTGATTAGTACTGTGGACATGTGGCTGACAACTTAATGGCCATTATTAATTACCAAATGCATTTTTAATTGTCTGTATTTGTTGTTATCAAAACTCAAAATATAACTGAAACAACTTGGGACAAATTATGTAAGAATTATATTTTGAATGGTGTATTTTTGTTTGGTAAAAACTGTAATTATAACACATCCATGTCTTATTTGTCAATTCCAGCAGCCGACTTAAAATAATATTTTGGGAGTCTTAAGTCTATTCCTTCCCTCACTCTGGCAGTAAACTCTTTTCTACACTGCTGACTCCATTACAGAATATATATATACATATATATATATATATATATATATATATATACACACACATACACATACTGATGTTTGGTCACTTTTGAATGCTGGTGGTGCTTTCACTCTAGTGGTAGCATGAGACGGAGTCTACAACCCACACAAGTGGCTCAGGTAGTGCAGCTCATCCAGGATGGCACATCAATGCAAGCTGTGGCAAGAATGTTTGCTGTGTCCGTCAGCGTAGTGTCCAGAGCATGGAGGCGCTACCAGGGGACAGGCCAGTACATCAGGAGACGTGGAAGAGGCCGTAGGAGGGCAACAACCCAGCAGCAGGACCGCTACCTCAGCCTTTGTGCAAGGAGGAGCAGGAGGAGCACTGCCAGAGCCCTGCAAAATGTCCTCCAGCAGGCCACAAATGTGCATGTGTCTGCTCAAACGGTCAGAAACAGACTCCATGAGGGTCGTATGAGGGCCCGACGTCCACAGGTGGGGGTTGTGCTTACAGCCCAACACCATGCAGGACGTTTGGCATTTGCCAGAGAACACCAAGATTGGCAAATTCGCCACTGGCGCCCTGTGCTCTTCACAGATGAAAGCAGGTTCACACTGAGCACATGTGACAGACGTGACAGAGTCTGGAGACGCCGTGGAGAACGTTCTGCTGCCTGCAACATCCTCCAGCATGACCGGTTTGGCGGTGGGTCAGTAATGGTGTTGGGTGGCATTTCTTTGGGGGGCCGCACAGCCCTCCATGTGCTCGCCAGAGGTAGCTTTTGCCATTAGGCACCGAGATGAGATCCTCAGACCCCTTGTGACAGCATATGTTGGTGCGGTTGGCCCTGGGTTCCTCCTAATGCAAGACAATGCTAGACCTCATGTGGCTGTAGTGTGTTAGCAGTTCCTGCAAGAGGAAGACATTGATGCTATGGACTGGTCTGCCCGTTCCCCAGACCTGAATCCAATTGAGAACATCTGGGACATCATGTCTCGCTCCATCCACCAACGCCACGTTGCACCACAGACTGTCCTGGAGTTGGCGGATGCTCTAGTCCAGGACTGGGAGGAGATCCCTCAGGAGCCTAATTTTGATTTGTTTTAAGGACATTATATCAAAGTTGGATTGGCCTGTAGAGTGGTTTTCCACTTTGATTTTGAGTGTGACTCCAAATCCAGATCTCCATGGGTTGATAAATTTGATTTCCATTGATAATTTTTGTGTGATTTTGTTGTCAGCACATTCAACTATGTAAAGAAAGGAGTATTTAATGAGATTATTTCATTCATTCATATCTAGGATGTGTTATTTTAGTGTTCCCTTTATTTTTTTGAGCAGTGTATATATATTAGAATTGGAATATACTAGACTAAATATATTTTAGAGGTTTTCTCAAAACATTAAATACTGAAGCAAAAAACTAACATTAAAGAACACTGACTACTGAATAAATGGTGCCAACAGCACAGGAATACCTAACAATAATTGATTTATAAGAAGATCAAGTATATACATGTTGGTAAGATGTTTTACTGATGTCATAAGATAAGATCACTCTTTTACTGCGCATTATGTATTTGGTTGGTTTCCAATTAAAAACATTTGTACATTTTTACTTATCCAGAATACCTTGGAAAATATCCACAGTCAAATCCACAGCAAAAACAGCTCCATAAATCATCTACAGTGGCCAAACAGTATTTTATGAATTTCCAAATTAACTGTTAAGGTAAGTGTTTCCTCATAACCTTGCTGAACTGAACACGCTTATCTGAACTAGTGGCCTAATTGTTTTTTGGGGGGGGCTTTTTTAAGCAAATAAACAGGAAATAGAGCAGATCTGCAACTGGACTGTGTTTATCGAACTTAATAAAAGATAATATCTGAATTTGAGTGTTTAAACCCTAGCTTGTGAGTCATATGCGTTAACTAGGAAGGTGAGGAAGTAATGGCCACAAACCGAGAACCCAGTTTTATGTTCAGAGAGGAATAGGTCCTCAGCTGTACTGGCAGCAGATTCAACATAATATTTAAACACTAAATCATTTACACTGAAAGTTGCTGAATATAATGCGAGTGAAGTTGACAGTGCTGTGTCAATACAACAATGTCGAGCTGAATTCTGTCTACCCTTGAAGCTATAAAGAAATGTCTTTGTTCGTAATGATGTGATCAAAACAATTTTAGTGCTATCTATAGGACACTGTATTGTCTATAGAATTGTATGCAGCTGATTACTGATTACCACCTTTAGAACATCTAAAACTATTTTTCTATTCTGGAAAGGTTGAAAAACATTATTTGTGTACTCAGACTGAGCCGTGTAGACGATACTCCCACACACTATATCTGCTATTTCTCTTCACAGACAGAAGTGGAACTGCTTTACCTCTGCTGTACCTTTTGAAATATATATACACTGTTGAGCTGATTGTTGATTCAGTCATTTATCATTTAAAAATAATGTAAGATATGTATGTTTAAATTAACCCAGGGCTGAATGAAATTAGGGATCAAAACATTATTGTAGTAGACAATGCATATGTAGTTCAGTTATTTTATGTATATCAGAAGTACTGTTAGTTGCTACGTTGAGGTGGTGAGCCAAGCATAATACTGTACATCCATCAACCATCAGCTGGAAGCTTTCACGAGCTGTGCATGTGTGTTTCTGAGTATATATCTCTATGGATGTCTGACATCTCCATATAGTAACATTTGACTTTGCTGTTGTCCTCTCACCTGTCTCTTGGGGGCCTTTGCCAGCTGTGCGTGCTGGATGGGGGGGCTGCTGTGGTTCCTCCAAACCAGTGGGGGGCAGAACCACTCCACCTCGCTCAGGTAGATGAGGAAGGAGCAGTCTGAACCGTCAACACCGTAGAAGGCATAGCAAGGGTCCGATGTCCAACGTGCACGCATCCACTGGATTGTATACAGACACATCCATTAAGTGCAATTTACATTCAAGTATCAAGATACTGAAAAAAAACAACAAGTCAGAATGGATAATAAATCATTATTTAACAGTTCCTTGCAGGGAACAGTGGTTCAAAAACCCCTGCAAGGAACTTTCAAATTAAGAACGACATAATTATATAAAATGTACAGGCTTTGACAGGCTATTTTTGCTATAATTACCTTAAACATGGGGCACTTACAATTATTACAGCAACTCAATCTATGACTGTTGCAACTAGCTAACTAACATGGGTAAAAAGCAAAATGGGGATGAAATAAAATGCCTGACATATGTGTTATAACATCCTAAAATCCCACTAGTCGGCTGGTCCGCAACAATGCTGTAAAAAAAACAAACAAACAAAAAAAACACCAGCTGTGCCATCATTTTCCAAATGAAATAGAAAAAGTGACACTCACATCTACTTTCCCGGAGCACTCTGGAAAGCGGGGGTCTCTTGGTACTTCACACTGGCTTGACGTCCCATCTCTCACTGCTTAAAAGACACAGTGAATGAAATTTTACCTTCAGTAATAAAACATGAATATTATATTTGTTGTAGGCTGGACACCTTCCAGGGGAAGGCCAGTGACACACCAGGATCCCCTCTCATTTTTAAATATCAAACTAAATGATAAATCGAACATATGCCAGTTGTGTTTGAAATACAAGTTGCACGCCTTTGCTTTACTCACAGTCACTGTTTAATTAGTCTGTATGCTCGCTGGCTTGGCTCACTTTAGTCAGGTGGCTTCAATGTGAATATTAACTACCAAGTGAAGATAACTATACTAACAGCAATTAGCCAGTGTAATGTTATTTATCGGCTCTTTTAGCAGCATATGGTGCATGTCAAAGCCTCTTTAAAATAAAAAATTTATTTCTTTAATAAATAATTTTCACAAAATGACATGAACTTGTTTTACCCACAGGCTGACCCTGCAGAACTGCTAGTTTACAGTGTCACTCCCATTAACAACTTTTCTCCACCTGCCTGTGGAGATTTTATGGCAATATTCACTTTCGCCATCATAATAATAATAATAATAATAATCATAATTTCCAGCATATGCAATATGTGCTGCCGGTGGCCATAGATTCCTGTGGTTTCCCCTTTGCAACATTGCACTGTCCATATCTGCTCTACTGCAGTGCACACTATTCACTGGGCTCTGGCAAAGCAGCACAGCCTGTCTCCTGCTGCTGCCAACCATCCTATGGGTTACGCTAGCAAGTACGTCTGCTCATTTAGGCTACACTCACTGCATTAGTTGCTCCACTGACTTAGTTAACTGCCTCTCTGTTGCTGACGTGAGCAAAAGAAAGGAAGATGGTGACAGAAAGAGAGAGAGACAACTGGAGTCATATAGTCCGAGAACAGAACCAATGCACCTTTAATTTCTTATTGTTTTTCTTTCTTTCAAACCGCCCCCTCCTTCTCTCTCTCTTTCTCTCTCTGGACCAACACAGCTGCCTTCTCTCTAGTTTCTGTCTGTTTCCATTTGCCTAATGAAAATGAGACATTTTTCCACATAAGTCTTCCCCAGGGCCTCTCTCCATCACACTGCTTACAAATATGATTACAATAGCAGCCACTGTAGCAACAATTGGAAATGTGGTCAACTAACTAGATAAAAACTTGACTCCTGTCCCTTCAAAGCAGAACATAAAAGCCTTGTCAGTGCTGGAGGGGAAGGAAATTCAAATCACGTCCTCTCTCTTTCTCCTGTCGTTCCCTCTCGCACATGCCTGACCACGAGATAAATAAACTGCCACTGAGCTGTATGATAATAAAGTCTGCCGGCAGTGTTTCAATTCATCTGTGATTAGAGAAAGCAGCAGTGTTTTCATTTTGGCGTGTGCCGTCGTCCCTGCAGATGCAGTGGGGGAAAACAAAAGGAGATGTAATGCTCATTTATTCTCTTGTAAAGAGTTGGGCAATTACCCTCAAGAGAAAAAGTAAGAGAGGAAAATAAGCAGGAAAGAATAGTCATAATGGTGGTTATATTATGTGTGCGTGCGTGTGTGTTTGTATGTTTGTGTCACAAGCTTAATATTACTTAGGTTTTGATGAAAAATGTGCAAAAGCCAGACAAACAGAAAACAGGGTTGGATGGAAGCAAGATGTACAGTAATGACCACAGCATCCCGCATGCACAACAGTGCTTTTAAGATGACTTGATAACTCATATTTTTATCTCTCTTATCTACCTGAAAATAAAATAAATCTGCTATTTAACTTTAAAAGCTTCCTGGTTTTGTCAAAGCTACAAAGTTCACACTGCATGCTCTGCAACTGATCACTCAGACTTTCATGTTTTCAGATTTCAGAACCTTTTTTCCATTGTTGACTGATCTGCATCATGTCCTACACTGAATTACAGCTTTTACCTTCAAGTCTTTGATTCAGCGTTCCTCATTGTAAGCTAAATGCTACAAACATTCAGTTATACAAATGGCAGTTAAGCTACTTAACACCAAATGCTAAGTAGTGCCCATATATGCTGTCACTGTGGTCGGGTGTCTGCCATGTGTGGACTATGTCTTTTTACTGTGTACACTTTTATTGGGTATGTTTGATCACGTGATCTCAATACAAACAAATTTCCCTTTCCCACGGACCATCTCTGGACCAAGCCAAAGAAAGTTTGTAGAGGGAATTTTGATCCGCCAAAAAACGGCCGAATTATAAGCTAAGACATTTTTGCGCAAATGCTAAAAACAGGATGTCATGTCAGATCTTACGTTTGCAAACTCGGGGACCTTATCTGCCACGCCCCCTCCCGAGGGGCTGTGTGAAATTTGCCGTCAAGCAGCCTCTAGGTGGTGCTATTAATTGGAAATCAAATAACACTCCCATAGACATCCATTCATTTTATATCTCCATAACCGCAAGTTCCTTTTATTTCGAACTCGGACCGTTTATTCTCCGCGGGCCCCCCGAGGGGCACCCGGGCCGACTCTCGCGCCCTCCGCAGGGCGAGGGGGGCGGCTGGCGCCGGGAGGCTTGGACCCCACTTACAACTGCTTGCAGTTCTAGTTGTTCTTGGAATCGGATTGTGCTGTCGATTTTTTATGGGGTTGTTTTTTAATTTTTGTAATTAGGGCTGATCTACAGCACGATGGAGACCAAGATAAGTCTCCCCACAGGGACAATAAAGTATGTAAGGTCAGATGGTTACACTCAGGTATACATGATATGGAGTAAAACAAGAGGGTGAAGGGATGATGATGATGATTGGTACTGTACCTCTTCCTTGCAACATGCTGTTTTGCAGTATCTGCTCCACCCTGATGGCCATGTTGGAGACGTTCTGGGCTATGGCTTGGATCCTCTCCACCAGGCCAGCTGGTTGAAACCTGCACACACACATTGAGGGAAGAAGAGAGACATGTGAAAATACCTTCATATTGTGGTCCCAAAATGCAAACTCAATTTAAAATGAAGCGCCTTGGACAAAAAGCAAGCACCTTTTCATAGAGTAGAACCTCTTGTCCTACACTAACACACCTGGCACCCAACAGCTATAAATATATCTCATTACTCATTCTTCCTCACCCAATGGTGTCACCTCATCTCCTCCTTCTGCATTCCTCCTCAGTCTGATCCTTACTGCAAAATTCCCTCTCTTCAGTTGTTGGCTAGTCTCTGTCTTCTTTAGTTATTCACACATTTAGTGTCTTCTGTCTTTCTCTGCTTCCTCTCTCCCTTTACATCTCAACAGATGTAGAAGTGTTAGTGGGAGATGCAAATTGTTAGACACTTGGTTGGAGCATGAAATAGAAAAAGACCTGTGCTGTTAATACCACTTCCTCTGTAGAGACTTCCCATTCACATAATAAGATGTGTGGGGAATGTGTGTATGTTTCTTGTGTGTATGTGCTTGAGTTTGCATCTCTGTGTGTGCTCATTGTAGTTCTGCATATTTCCAAAGCATTTGACTGCTTGACTGCGCATTACGTAAAGCCAAGCCTGCGTAACCACATGCTCACACTGCTGTGCTCATTAAGTCCATTTAAATGAGTTGATATCAGTGTACATTGTGTGTTTGTACCTTCCTGACTCTCTGTATTGTCTAATCGGCAGATAATATTAATCCTCATTAAAGCCAGAGGCTTAAATGCAGCATAATAACGCATCATCGAAATGATGATCAGAATTATTGATTATGTGTGTGTGTACAAGATGGATGCAAGGCTGTAGCTAACTAAATGCCAACAGCAGCTGCATGAAAACAAACAGGAAGTCTTCAAGCTCAGTTAGCAGCTTTTTAAGTGTTACTTATAAGCATTGTGAAGGGTGTTTGTGTCCTGTTTAATATGTTTACTGCAATAGAGAAGCCCTTATTCTCTAGAGAATATACATTCAAAACATTATAAAAAATAGCATAAATGTGAAAGAATGACATAATGTTCAGTATTTCTGTTGCATAAAACAAAGCTTTTACATAAACATACATTATCTCTATGTGTTAGCCTGCCTGGTGTACATTCAGGGATCCTGGAGTTAATTCTTATATTTTTTTAATCATAATATATTCTTTATCCATTTCATTTAACTTATTAAAATTTGTTTTAACTTGCACCACTTGCAATTTCGACTTGGTATTTTTATGGACTTCAACTAAGCATGGTACACCTGGCTCTGTTCATCATAACTCAAAAACTCAATCATAACTAAAAAATTTTTGCACTAATCCGGGCCAGGGCCACTATTGCAGCGAGCTAAGTTAGGTAGTCCGTTCATCCTTCTACATAGCCATATAGCTCTTCCTGGGGGATCACAAGGTGTTTCCAGCCTCAGTGGGATACATAATCCCTGCAGCGACCAGTGGACCTACTCCGAATTCCATCCTGATGTGTGAGCTCCTCATCCTATCTAAGGGTGAGCCCAGCCATCCTATGAAGGAAATTCATTTTTGTAACTTATATCCATGATCTCATTCTTTTAGCTATTACCAAAAGCTCATGACCATAGGTGAGAGTTGGAATATAGATTAACCAGTAAATTAAGAGATTGGATTTCAGGCTCAGCTCCCCCTTCACCATGACAGTCCGAGACAGCGTCTGCATTAGTGCTAATGCGTCATACATCCACATGTCAATCTCCATTTTACCCTTGGTAGTGAACAACACCCCACTATACTTGAACACCTTCATCTTGGGGTAGTGACTCTCTCACAACTGGAATAAGCCAATGCACTGTTTTCTGACAGAGTAGCATGGCCTCAGACATGCAGGTGCTGACCATCATCCCTGTCGATTCACCCTACGGTGTTTTCCATAACTGACCTCTCATTTTCGTACCAGGTAGGAAAGTATGAGGTCATAGTTGCACCTGTCGAATCTCGCAATGTGGAATCATGTCATCATTTTTGCATTCCTCTACCAGTGTGTCTACCAGAATGTAACAGAGAATGTTTTCATTTTTGTCCGTGTTGTTATTTTGGGCGACAAATGGCATCCCCCTCACCTGCTCAAAGTAGAAAATCTCCACAGTGTAAATAAACCTTTCCAGACACGCTTGCCAGGAAAGCACCCTGAAACAGATATCTAAATAAAAGAATATGACTGACCTAATTATAATTTCACTCCTCCATACGGTGCAAGTGAGGCAAATTCAGTCTACACGTTAGTGAAAGTTATTACCTTGTATATTGTCTTATAATGAGAGCCAGCATTATATTAGGCTATAAAATGATATTAAAACATTAACAGTATTACATGGAGCATTATAGTGACGATCCCAACGATCCCAACTGTAGAGGATTACAGCTGCCATGTTACATATCCTATAAAAGTTGCAATGTATTTGGCCTGAAGGACAAAACCTTTGCTAGATAAGCTGTGTAACCCCTGCTACTGCAAAGCTCTCAACGGGGGGGCTTCACTGTGACTGTAAGTTGGCCTCTATAAGACTTGACCTTCAAATCTTACCTCTGATATCTGTTACAACGTGAGTGCCTCCCTTGAGATGAACACACAGAGACGGAGAACAGGAGAGATTCATTAAAGGAGAGACTAGGGCAGGGAAATGGATGAAAGGCTGAGAAGGAGGGGGCGAGGGTTACACAATGAGATCCAAAGAGGGCAAGAAAAAAAAAGACAGGCAGAGAAACATACAGAAGGAGAGTTGAGGAAAATCTGGAATACAAGCAGGCAAAAAATAAAGAGCAGATCAACCATCAGCAGCAAACAGACCAAGAGTACCAGGGGGACCTTTGTGTTGTGAAAGAGAAAGGATGAAATAAAGAGATCCTCTGTGCCTTCGTGTGGAAGCCAAGAAAACAGCTTGACTGAAACATTACATGATGATTAGGATCAAAGAATACAAGGATATGCATATTTGATGGCTCCCTGTTGCGCGCTACTTGAAATGAAACTTTCTCCCTTTTGATGAATGTAGACAGTTGGCTCTTTCACAAACGAGGCGAACAAAACAGCAATGAGGAAGAGCAAAGAGAAGACAAAACGGGAGGAAAGTATAGGGGGAGAAGAAACGACAAGAAGGAAATCCACTGACAAATGCCGAGCGGAAGTATAACACTGAAAAGAAGGAAGTGAGAGAATTGTTAAGAGAAAGTCAATGATGACTATAGGGAGAGTTTCTGAGGATACAGTGTTCTCATGTTCTGCTTATTTCTCTTTCCCTCTCTCACTATCTATCTAATGAGCTCATCTTCTTAAGGGAAGAGGACACTTCTGACAGCACATTATCCACCTAAGATGTCCAAGGCAAGAGAGGACTGTGACACGGTGTCAGCATTTAGAGATTGTGTGTTTGGCTGATGTCCGTTTGTTTGCGTGCGTCCTCCCCATGTCGTTGTGTTAAAACATCACACTCAACAGCGCTTCCTACTCCACCACTTATTTAAACACATACACAAATGTCAATTCATGAAATGCATGAATGCACACAGACGCACACTCACTCACCCGGTTATTTCAAGTACAGTGGTGCAGAGAATTAGATCTGAACACCATTGTTTATTTCTCCCGCTGGTCTGGGCACAGAGTGACTGAAATCAGGAAAAATGAAATGAAAGAAGACTTTAAAGTGTCTCCTTTGCCGACTACTTCCAGCAAAGCTGCAGTATGACATTGACTTGAGTGCTGTGGAAAAGAAGGCCTCCTGGGATAAAGGTTGTTACTGACGGAGCTTAGATGGGTGCTTAAGGGAGGAGAAATAGGTAAAGCCAAGCCAGAGCAGTGATCTTCAGAGAGCGTACGCCTAAGGGGAGACTTACCAATCTCCCCTCTCATCCGCTGTGTGGTAAAACAGAGTGAATCAATCCCCCCATCCTTTCCCCCTCCTTTACCTCCCTCTCTCATTTTCTCAGGCTCTTTGCTGTCCTTTTTCCTCCCTTTCTCCCTTGTTATTTTCCCCCCATTTTCTGCTCTAACGAGTGGCTGCCCCGTGGGCGAATCGCAGGCTGGGGCCTCAGACATCAAGTCCCATTCGCCGCTACACGGGAGTGTGTCAGCACCAATGAAGCTCACACAGAGATGAGAATCCCGCCCAGTGTGTGTGCGTGTGTGTGTGTCTTTCCGTGAATGCGTGCCTGACTGGCCTGGATTTGGGATATGTTTTTATAAAGCTCTCTCTTCCCATTTGCTCCTCTCCCCGCTGGCAAAAATCACACTTTACCACGTCACTCATACCCAATAACCTTTCTCACATGCTCTCTCCCTCTGTGAGTATGTGTGAGTGCATGAGGAATAGGAGTATTCAGAAAATATATAGGAAAAAGGGACAGAGAGCAAGATAGGAAAAGGTCAGAGAGTAAAGGTGGAGAGTAAGAGACAGAGAGATAGAGGCAGGAAGAGACGGGAAACGAGTGATGAAACGCACTGGACTGAAGAGAGACCGTTGTGACAGTCAGTGTGTGAGTGCATGTGTAGGGCCATTAATCCTGCAGGCTATGTCCTCGGTCAGGGGTCTGTGCCCTGGTCTCATGCCCAGACTGGTTTTAACAAGTGTTACCTCAAGTGAAATAATACATAGACACACACATTCATGACACAGTTACACACACACGCACGCACGCACGCACGCACGCACGCACGCACGCACGCACGCACGCACGCAATCTCCTTCTTCAGCAGGAAGCCATCAGAGGAACACCATGAAGACAAGAAGTGTATGTTTGTGTGTTGTATGTGTTTTATGTGACCACCACAGTTTCCTTAGTCACTATCCTTTTCATTCTGCTTCCTGTATCAAATCAAACTTTCACTCGAGCTATTATAACTGCTTCACTCCAAAGATCCATTCAGTCCAAAATAAACAACAGTACTCCAGAAATAAAATTTTTTTGGGCAGTGTGTTCTGATTTCGATTTCACATTGTTCACAGAGCA